GGGGTGGTTGGGAGCCAGGAGCATCAGGTTTCCTGAAGGTGGGTGCTGTCCCTGGGCTGTAGCTGGGACAGTGGCTGCAGCGGGAGGGTGTGTGTGTGTTTAAGTTCTGGTGTAGGGGGTGGAGTTGCTGGGTGGGGAGCTTGAGAAGGAGGCAGCGTCCCCTGATGGAGTCTGAAGGGTGTGGGAAACCCGGGGTCTGAGGAGGGAGGGGGCAGTAGGGTGCTTAGCCCTACCCTGGGGGGAGCACAGTGAGGGGGAGGCAGGACCCAGTTGCAGGGCCCTTAATGAGTTGCGTGGTGCTGCCCTAGAGCCTCCAAGCTGAGCCACTGTGGGGTCCTCTCTAGGCCTGGGTGAGGGCAGTGGACTACAGGGCCCAGGACTTCCCTGGTGACAGGCAAGCAGTTCAGGTCTGGGTCAGGGGTCAGGGTCAGCTCTGCCTGCTGAGCTGAGCTCTCAGAAGGGGCTGCAGGACCATTGAGCACAACTCACGCACATTCACAGGTGTGGAAACAGGCTATTTTCTGTATGGCAGTCTTCCATTCACATCTGCCCTCCTGTTCACTCGTCACTTTGTGTAGGGTTGGGGGTGTGGCTCTTGAGGCAGGGTGAAGATGCTGGACTATGGTCTACCCCATCTGGTGAGTCTGTGTTGCGTCCCCACCTCGTCCTTGAGCATCTGTTGTTCATAAGAAGCCATATCCCTGAAGTTCCCCAGCATCTTTTTAAAAAGTTTATTTTAAAATTTATACACAGTAAAATTTACTGTTAGGTTTCATTTTTTGACAACAATGTGTGAGGAAATCAGTGTCTGCCTTCATTTGGTGGTCTGGCTCAGAGGCAGAGCTTCCTGAACTTTACATGTAAATTAATGCAGAACAATAAATGCAGAGGAGCTGGTCTGAGGGTCTGTGTGCCTCTCCCACCCCACCCCAGGAGGGCTGAGGCCAGACTGGTCTTTAGGAGGACAGGTCTCTACAAGAAAGGCAGCTTGGCTCCCATGGGACACTCCCCAACCCTTCCCTGGAGCTCAGGCCCCCTGAAGGTGTGGGAACTCTGACTGTCCAGTGGCCTTGGCCAAGTGATCCTGTCTGGTCAAGCCCAGGTACTCAGAACTAGCTCAGAGCAAGTGGGAGGTGTGTGTGTGTTTGGCTCTTGCCTGTGGATGATGTCATGGAGACTGCTCTTATCCAAATACAGGCTTGTCACCTCTGTGGGGCTGGGTGGGAGGGAAATTTGCCTTGAGCCTGGGTGGGTGGCAGGAAGTACCCCTTAAACGCAGAGGAAGGTCAAAGGTCAGAGTTCACATTTATCCACCGTAGCCTGCTGAGTGAAACTGTCTGCTACTTCAAGCAAAGTTGGAAAGGACTGATGGTACATTTTCTAGCAGGGACACCAGGTTGGAGGGTGGCCTACAGTTACCCAGATGCCAAATGGCAAGGCCATGGCTAGACTCTGCTTGGGGTTGGCCTAGCATTGTCCAGTTCAGCCATGGCACAAGCAACCCCCATAGAACCAGTAGAGCAGATTGGGGGTGGGGTGTCCCTGTTCCTTACCCCCACTACAGCCACCACAGGTGCCATGCTACACCCAGTTAAGGATTTGGCCCCCCTGGTCCCAGGGGCCACTGTGGGCCTCGGTGCCCTCTCCCCTGTCCACCTTCTTCTTTGGTGCCTGTTGACTGTCCCTTCTCTCCCACCAGCCTTGGTAACAATAGGGCCTCATGCTCTGCAAGATGCTCCCACCTCTGGAGCCTTAGTGGCCTGTGACTGGATGGGTGACACCCAGGCCCCAAGACCAAGTGGGATGGGAAGACTATCAGCTGGGTAGGATTAAGCCCTTTCTTTTTGGTATCTGGTGGCCAAACCAGAGCTTCTGGTTGGATCCTGGGGGGCAGCAGCAGTAGGCCTAGAAGGGCAGTGCTGGTTCCCCCTGTGCCCCAAGTGGGTATGGAGCAGCTGGCAGGTCAGCAATGTGTGTGTGTATGTGTGTGTGTGTGTGTGTGTGTGGTTACTTCAGACTGACCTGGGGCTCGTTCCAGCTCTTAGGGTCACTAATCGTGGGACCATGGCAGGGGGCCTGGTCACTCCAGACTGCAGTGGCCTGTGTGTGTGCTGGAGGTGGTGGTGGTGGGCCTCTAGGTGCTTGGTGCACAGAGTGCCCAACATGCTGGCCAGTGTGCAGCCCCACCCCACAGGGCCCTCAGCTCAGAGAACTAGGCTGCTCCACCACTCTACTCATCAAATTGAACTTCTTTATTAAGTGCCAAGGGTCCAGGCGGGTGCTGCAACCCGCAGCCCCCTCTGCTGAGGCCTGTGCTTGGTGCATTTCCCAGGAGCCAGAGTCACCAACAGCCTGGCACCTGGGGGTGATTCCGTCTCTATGGGCGGCAGGCTGGCTGGCCCTGGCTCCTGGGGAGCAGCGGGGCGTGTGAAGCGGTTTCCAGTTTGTAGTGTGGACACCGGTCACTTCACGTGCTCGGAGGCGTGCGAGGAACAGTAATACTTCTTGTGGGCTATGAAGGTGGATAGGCTGCTGAACTTGATGTTGCACAGGCGGCAGAACCTGTGGTTGCCGTTGGGCAGGGAGGTCGGTGTACCCTTGCTGGGGGTCTGGACGCCCTTGTCCGAGTGGGAAGGAGGTGTTGGCGGGGCTGAGGGTGGGCCGGGCCTGGGACTGCTGTCAGGAGGGACAGTGGGTGGTTCCTGGCCGTTAAGGCCATCGCGGGGGGCGGCGGGTGAGGGAGTCCGAGCCTCTGCGCCCTGGCCCGGGCCAGTCAGGGGCTTGCCCAGCAGCCTTCCGTGGGCCAGGCGCAAGTGCTCAACGAGGTCCCCACGAACCAGGCCGTTCAGGGGGCAGTAGGGGCACACGACGGCGGGATCCTCGGGGGCGCGCGGGCGGCGCGGCGCGGCGGGGCACGAGAACTTCTTGTGCGCCAGGTAGGCCTCGAGGCTGTGGAAGCTCACGCGGCAGGCTGTGCACTCGTGGTAGTCGGCCAGCGCGGGGAGCACGGGCGTGGGGCTGGGCAACGGAGTGGCGGGGGCCTGGCGCCGAGGCTTTTTGCTCAAGTCGATGGGGCCATCGGACGGGTCCGGCCCGTTTCCGCTTCCAAGCTGGGGTGATGGCGAGGCGGGGGGCTCTGGAGCTG